CGACGCAACAACCCAGAAGACAGCCATCTTCAGACTCACCGCCGTGGAAACCTCAGATCCTACAAAGGATTTACAAATTAATGAACTCTTGGTATAATGTACGACACCATCCCACTGACAGACTGTACCCTTTTAACCACTGATGTTATTTCCTCGTGTGTGAAGAACCTGTCTTTAAGTAATGATTGGTATTTCCATTTCCGTAGAAAAATGTATAATTTTATACTGATTCATTAACCTCTCTTCTTCCATGTGACCTTTACTGCGCTAATTCTCCTCTACTGTTTTCAGTTAATCTGATCTGTAGAGATACGTAACATTTAAAATCTCATGTCCGTTTCCTACACCTTAGGTTAGGAAAATCTGTCGAAGTCTGAGGCCTGAGGCTGTGTGGTACATTTCATAACATCCTGATTGTTTTCAAGTAAACATTTGTTATCCACCACTCAATCACCGAGCTCCAGGACCAATCTGTATCAAGCTGTCCACGTCTGCTTATTCAGTACATTGTAGGCTACCCTTCATATATGAATGTATTTTCCTGAGTATGCGCCATGCCGCGCTGTGGTGGCAGCGGAAGCATGTAACATGGAACTGTGACACTAAAATGGTTGAACTACATATAAATGTGATGTTCAGCATAGTGGTAATAATTTATTTCTTTATGTGTTTTAACAGTCATCAGGAAACAGAACACGCTGGTGTGTCAGTTTGCGTCTCCACTGGATGTGAACATGCACGACAAACCTGAGGTGAGTCACTGCACTTGTGAAGTCTCTTCTCTCTGATTGAGAAGCCTCACAGATTTTTATTCATTGTCTGATCTTGGCAGACAATCAGATGAAACCAGTCTGGACCAGATACAAACGGCTCTTCTTCTAAGGCTTCCGCAACAGTTAGTCGAAATGTGTCTGTTAATCTTTCAGATGATGTTACTTTTTACGTTGCTCGGGTTGTGCCATCACCCAAAAGCTGAATGTATAAGTTTCACTTTTTTTTTGTCATAAAGTGTGGTGGTACTGGCCCGTGTCATACTTCTTGCCGTCCAGTTCCTTACTACAGCGTCATTCCAGGCTAGTCCACATGGAATATATGGTGGACAGCGTGAGACAAGCAGCTTCCAGCTGTGGATACTCCAGATTAGTTTATTTTTAGGGCAGGTTTCCCATGTCAGTTACTATTCTGCTGATACTTCCTATTCATTTTTTACTGGGGCAAGTTTCTCTCTCCACATGTATTCTTCTGGTTCACCTCTGCATTCAAATTTGGCAAAAATTTAATCAACTTCAGTTTAAGATATATTGGCTACTTCTGAATAGATACCACGCACCACAAATTTGATAGATACCACATGAAAAGACGTTTACATACACATTTAATATCACACAGATCCACAGTATTGAAATCCTGTTATAGTAATAGTTGCTTGTACATAAAGTGAAGGTAATTGCTTAAAATTTCTGAAAATTTGAACCATATTTTTAGATTCTTGTTTGTAGGTTTCTGCAGCTGGAGTTCAATGTATAATTTCAGCTTTTGGGGATAAGCCACGTCTAATGTTCGTAAGTTTATATTATTTTGGCAAACATTCCAGTAGCTATGTGGCTGCTGAAACTTATTCTGTCACCACTGCTTCCTACCACAAGGTCGCCAGAATCCTTCTTGTTACCGCTTCTCCTAACAACTTGGTTATTGAAATTTTACATCACCTCCCTTCCTAGTCATGTGGTCGCCCATAACCTCCTTTATCACCAATTATCCTCGCCATGTGGCCTTTAAAAACTATTATAACCTGTTTTCTTCAGTCACGTGTTTCTTATCGACTGGATACCAGCCCACTCCTCTGTTCTGTCAATCACCACCTACCGTCTCTTCTGTGTAAGACTTCCCCCCAATACATATTCACCCTGAAGATGGCAACTTCAGTATTTGTTGAAACATTGGGTAACATACAACATTCAGTATGGCTCATTCCTGAAAACTGAAGTTTTCATGTTTTAAGAGTGTCGGTTAATTAAATAATTTTTAGGAATGCAGCGAGGCTTCCATTTTGTTTGACGCAGAAGAATTATTTCGTGCATTAATAGATGTGCATTATCTTTTCAGGCTGTGGTGTTGGAAGGAAAATATTGGAAGCGCAAACTAGCGGCAGTCACAGCTGAATACAAAAAGTGGCGAATGTTTTACCGCAACAAGTTCATGGGCTGGTCGTCCAAAGATGGCAATGACATGGTATGTATTTAATGACTTGGGTGTTAACAGTAAAAGAATAGCAAAGAGAGAAGGCCTGGAATATTGCAAGGGAGCAGGATTTGCTTTAGTTGAGTGGGATATCAGTTGTCCAAGGCGAATGGTACCATGGCTACCTCAGAAATACCAGATTATTGAAACCGAACTGTCGGCAGAAGGTAAGGCGATGCTCTGGAAGGACTGTAAAAGGTTGGAAGAATTGCATCTTGTTATTCTTTTACGAAAGGCTTACAGGTACGCAGAATGATGAGTATAATCGTGATGATAAAAGGGGCATATTTGAATTTTGCTGCAGATAACAGACATGTTCGACTGGCAGCCACACAGCAACGACAGTGTTCACTCAATGGGCTCCATGATGGTGGATGAAGACTATATGGAATTCATGTCAGACACACTTTTTTCTACTATCTCAGCCAATCAGCCATTTGCCTTTCCAGACCCACGTGAAATAAGTAAGCAGCATACATTGCTTTTCTGAATGTTATAATTATTGATTTAGAGGGGCCTGTTTTTCTTATAAATATAACTATCACTCTATTCTAGAATGTGTGAATGTCTTATCCCAGTACAGAGTATTTTGTCTCACTAACACTAGTTTCTACGAGATCTCATAAATGTTCTTAAAAATTTGCTAAATTCCAGGTTTCTCAATCTTGCAGCCCATGAACTTTTGTCATGAGGCCTTTTAGACATCAGAAAGTGTTATTACAATATACAGTCTTCACATAAAAAATATAAACATCTTAAAGTTCAAACTTATACTGAAGTTTATTAGTTTGTTGATTAGTCTGATTTGGTATTTATGTAGGTTTACTTCATTTAGTTTGTTGCACATCACGCTATTAGAACTACTTGTCTGTCATCGCAGTCTCCATCATAAGGGCGAATGTGTAGTGGCTCACCCTGGCAATGGCAGTAGCGGCGTCTGCCAAAACACTCAATAATTCTCAATATTTGACGTGGCTCATCCCTGAAATCCGAAGTTATATCTGACTGATACTGATTGGTGGACCTCTCATCATGCGGCGACTGTGCTATGGCACAGTTGTCGCTTCTTCTTCTTCTCTCCATGGCCTCCTCAATTCTCTTCTTCCATTCGGTCCTCTGTTATGTCCGTCTGTCCGAGGCTTTGATCGAGGTTTTGAAACATCTTCCTTTTTATGGTGCAAGGTTGTTAGCCTTGCGACCAACCCCCAACCTGGAGGACCAGGGTACCTGTCTTAGTCTGACCTCTCCCCCTTGACCAATCTGGCTAGGGAGGCCCCACCAGTAGCTCTTGGGGTCTCTGAGGTACTCAAGCCCCACCACCACCTCGACAAGGTCCAGGCACCATTAAGTGGGGACAGTTGTCACTTGCCAACTTAATCTCATTTGTATTGTAGCTAGTCAGGTAATAAAGCAGTTAACATGTGTAAGACAAATTTACAAATTTGAATATCACGCTTTTATTTGTTGTTAGGTTGCTTGATGGCGACAGTATTGGTCATATAGCATTGATGTTTCTGTATGTGGGAACAAATACGTATTAACATGGATGCTTGCTGTTGCAGTTAGGACCTGAATGAAAGAAGATAATGATGTATTTCATCTTATTGCAGCTCGTAATGCTGGTGGTATCGCAGACTTCATTCAACCCAGCCTAGTTCAACTCCAGCCAAATCTTGAAGACTTTATGGACACCTTGGAACCCCTTCAAGGCAAGGATAAATTTTGTAAAGATCGCTTGCATGTAGTGAGGTAATCTTAGACAAGATGATGTGAGGGACTGAAGTCATGGCTCTTAACTATCAGGCTGTTTCAGATGAAGTTACTTTTCCTACCTGTTGCTCTCAATAGATTCTTACAAAAGAGACATCTGAACTCCATTATACCATTAGTATTACTAAGATTCAACTTGTGCTTTTGCAGTGAAGATGTTGATTTTATTATCCATGAAATCTGTAAGTCAGTGGAGTGTTAATCACTAAGTTATTTTGTGAAATTACAAGAGAATTGACAGTCACAGTGGCCATGAACTCTGAGGTATTGGTCTTGTGTACTTGGACACTGGGACTTTGGGTTTGAATCCCACGCAAGGCATGGATGTTGTATCGTGCTGTCCTGTGTACAGGTAGAGGCCTTGCGATCTAGTGTTCACTCGTCCAAAAGATTCCTACCAAATGTCTAAATAGATTAAGTAACCTCCAAAATGAGGCAGCCAAGACCCACACTGGGTTGTAGAGCCACAGATGATGATGATGATGATGATGATGACGACAAGAGAATTGGTTTCTTAGTGAGGTAATCACACTTGAAAAATGTGTAGATTTGCATCATTACTTGATTTCTCTAAACTCTTTTACACAGATTTACTAAGTGCAAAACTACCATCTGTCCCTGAGGAGTATATACCAGATGACATATTTCGTGGGAGGGGCGTGGGATTGGATCTCATGGGCATCCAGCAACAAACCACAGTGTCTGAGGCACAGGTGTCGCAGCCTCAACCCATTGTGCAGCCACAACTCCAGCAGCCGCCCACGGGCAGTCCACTGCAGTACACTGCCACCATCTTTGCTCAAACAGAAACGGACACTAGCTTCCAGCCTTCTGGTCCCAGTGCCTTCCAGCTGGGTACGTTTGTCGTACTGAAACATATTTTTTATTTATTTCTTTTCCTTTCTAGCTGAGTTCCCTAGTGCTGTTTATAGGTGCACTTGGCATAATCTGCTCAGAGCATGGAATAACCAGGTAGTATGATAGCTGTTTAAAAAAATGGCTGTTGTCAGTTGCCCGTCATCAGAGCGATGGAGGTAGAAAGCGCCTCTGAAAGATTGGTAAACTTCTACCAGACTACACAGTGCAACAACCCAGAAGACGGACATATACAAGGCAGTGTTTTTGAAAAGTACAGGAAAAGTATGGATATCATCCCCATGCAGAGAACTCACAAGTAATCTGGTCCAATAAATGCTCTAAATTGAATTAATGTAGGCTTTTCATAAGTGATGTTATGATGTGGCTGTCACAGGTATTGCTGAAACTTTGGTCCTCATTCTGTGAAAATAGTAGATACATTACATTGCCTGGTATTGACAGCAGTAATGTTGGTAAAGAAATATTTATTTTTGTTTTGACTTCTGACAGTTGCTGGCCAGACAACGTATGAAGAAGTTCCAGCAGTAGGAAAGGTCCGCTGTCTTCGTTCATCGCAGCGAACTCATCAACAGCAACAGAAGCAACAAACACAGCCAACACCACCGCCCATGCCACAGCAGTCTAATACATTATTTCAACAGCCATCTGGTACACCACAGCAGCAGCAACAGGTGGTTCTTTGTTCGCCAGCACAGTACCAAGCCTTCAATATGGGTGATCAAGTTTCACCCAGTTCTCCTTGTCATTCACCCCCTTTAAACCCTCCGCCAACCCCACAACTTACGAATTATGCTCTCTCTCAGAGCTATAAGCAGCCATATCACCAGACTAATCACCAACAGCAGGCTGGCTTCCCGAGTTTTCGTCTCTCATCCTCTCCAGTGGCCGCGTCACACAGTCCCACACCTGGTTCAGAGCCGCCCAATCTTCGTCAGTCATTGGCATCACCCACTCTTAAGAGTCCATCATTTAGGTCCAACAGTCTACCTGGACTGCAGGATGATGCATTTGTGATGCCCAAAGTAAGTACCATGATTTTTTATGTATGGTCTGCATGTTTTTGTGGTCCTGTACCGTGTTCTTTTGACCGCAGATGTGCATTTGTGAAGTTTACAGATGTTTTGTGCTCTCCATATAAACCTGATGGGGATTTGGTTTTACGTGCTAGTTCCCTTATTATGTATAGACTGTCACAGCTAGCATGTTTTGCTACCTTCTGCGTAGTTGCTATAATCATATGAATGCAGGTAGCGTTATTAAGATTTTTATAACTAACTAAAAACACATAAATAGCTTGACATTCATCGAAACAAATAAATAACAGTTTAAATCCATGGAGTCTCTTGGCACATGTCTGGGTCATGACATCATCATAAAAAATTCCCCGGGGGATTTCTCCGCGTGATTGTGTGGCCAATTGGTAATTCCCCATGCAGGAATTCTCCTCCAGTCTCATCTGTGTGTGGAAACAAATGTTGATTATCGTGTAAAGTACCCATTACTGTTGTCCAGTTTTAACCAAAATTGTAATGTATGAACGAATTTTAGTATAACTCCAAATATCGAATTCAGGGATTCTGATAGGCATATATTTGGCAAGCGCAACCTTTAGTTACGAACAGACTTAAAAGGTAACACATTATTATTAATACAGAACTTAAAAACTTTTGTGCAAATGAGAAAACTATGACTTGCATTCACTGTCCGATAGAAGAAACAAAAATTGACAACTGAACTTCATAAATGTTGCACCACTGAAATTAAAAAAAAGCCTATAAGACTTAAAGTTTCATGGATCATTTTAAGTATGGCATGAAATGAAATGTAACACGCAGAATATTAAATAGGATTTGAGGTTCTCATCGTGGTGAGTACAAAGATGGCTGTCTTCTGGGTTGCAGCCCTGTGTTGTCTGGTAGAAGTTTGCCGTCATTTCAGAGGTCCTTGCTGCCTCCATCATCAGGGCAATGAGACCCGATGATGTCTCTCCTACATTAGTGATTCTGTGGACACATGCCCTGGAGAAGGCAGTTTTTATTTAATGTATTATTACAATTGTTTTTCTTACCTGATATTTGTATGTACAAACTGCATTAGTGTTACTGTCATATTTTGTTTGGCAATAATTTTTTTAAACTGTTTTATTGCTGTATAAGGTTTCTGATTGTCAGTATTGTCATTCATTTCAGAGAAATGGGTGATCTTCATGTCACAACCCATTTAAAAAATGTCATATTAATATCAACCCAGATGTTATTGAGGTGAAGCTTGTGGGAAAACTTGTGCGCTAATCATGTCAAAAGTGTTTATTTAGAATTGGCTTCTTTTTCTTTGAAAGAAGCTAATTATATTAGTTCCACATATGTATTATATAAGGGGTGACTTGTCTACTTATTAAAACAAATATTAAGATACATAAAACATATATTTTTCCCACCGTTTTTGTCATTGAGATATCTCTTACCCTGAAAAAAAGTATTTATTTTATGAATAATTAAAAACAAAAATCTTGGAAAATATCCAGACAAAAGAGAAGTGTGGTAAATGAGTAAGGATATAACGCATAACTTCAGTTTATACAAGTCTAATAAAATTGGTAGGTTAGTTAAATGAAGGAAATTTTATTGACGTAGACATATAGCAAGAAATAAGAAGTACACAAACTTTGGTGAGGAAACCACTGTATCATCATTTCGAAAACCAAGATGATAATATTACAATTGATCTTCAAGAAATTTCGTGTAAACAGTGCATATATAGTTTGTTTTTTTTTTTTTTCATATTTACCACAGCATTTGCAACTTTTGTCTAGTTAAAATGAATCCACATTAACGTGTGCTTGTGTGCATTAACAAAGAAATGTTTTTGTGTTTCACAAAGTGTGTTGCTAATGTGAAACGTTGTGTGTTTTATAACATCAGACGATGGACAAGGTCCAAAATCCCCACAACTCAGATCACATGAAATGTGTCTACAGTTTGCCAAAAGTCGAAAGAACATAATCTCTTTACCCGTCTAATTGAAATGCATAACTGCTCTGTTGCATATGTGTGCGTTCTGTCTTATGTCAGTAATGCATGTTTCTGAGTGTGACTACACGAGAACTGAACTAAGGAAGATGTGTATCTGATACCACCTGGAAAAAATGGGGCAAAAAATTTATAATGAAATTAAAAGACTAAATCCTTTTTGCTTGTCATTATTTAATTTAAATGTTTAGATATTGTTGGCATTCATTTGCTTTCCAAAATATGTGTGTGTTATAGAAAATGTTCGCCACTTATTTTGAATACTTACGAAACAGTCTCATAATGTGATGGAAGAACATATATTACAAGTTTTTGTAAAATATTGCTCAAGAGAATGTTTGGAATGAGATATAAAGTAATTGTGATGTACACGTGTTATCAGTTATTGATTGGATGGTGAGATACGAAACTATGATGGATCCTACATATTTTGGATTGCGGCAACAACAAATGCATACTGAATTTTTGTGAGAAAAATCTCTTGGAAAGTGAATGATTGGAAGACCAAGGATGAGATTTGAGGCTGGCGGTAATATGAATATTAGAGAAGTGGGTTTAAGGGTGGGAGATGAATGGAAGTGTTTCATTTTTTAAATTAACTTGTGTTGTTACATTTACATATAGTTGTAAATCATGGAACTTGACAACTAAACATCTGAGCCAATTACAGGAAATGTAAATTTGATATTTTTGAAAGAATCAAAGAAGATAAATGGAAAAGATTGAATTTAAACAATATGAAAATATATCTATTGAACCATTAAAAGAAATTCTGAAAAATTTACAGCACACAGGGTTCAGATACATATGTAAAATATTTGCTCAAGCAGGCAAAACAAAAATGGAAGAAGACCTATGCATAAAAGAATGTGTTGAGAAGGAAAGAGGTAATGGATGAATGAGGCAAACTTGGAGCCACAGATCTGAGAAACATTTGAGTAAAGGAAGAACAAAAACCTGTGCTTTATGCTGTTTGCTCACTGCTGATATGATAAATAGACCAGGCAGTACAGATGTGTAAGTGAAACCCATGATTTAAAGAAGAAATGTTGTGAGACTTCAGTACATTAGCCCAAATAGGGGACAAAAACTAAGATGATAAGGTGAAATTGGTCTCAGGAAATGTATCTGATGATGTCGTTTAGAATAGATTTACTCAGGGTATTGTCCATTGTTAGGCTTTTATTGTGACAGTGATGAACCTTTGGGTCCTTAACAACAGAACTTTCACTATAAAATTTGTATTACACAGTTAACAGGCATTTGTATTCAGTTTTTAACTGTTTGTACTTCTTCGAACAGTGTATAAATCTTTTTGAACTCACACTGCCATCATGATAGAGAAAATATACACAGGGGTTTTGTCTCGAGGGAAGTTGGAGCCGTTTGCTTCTTCTGTCATAATATTCAAGTTGGTATTAGTTGCCATGTATTTGCAGACATACTCATCTAACTCCCCCCTCCCCAAAAAGTTTATACTTAAGGGCACATCTTCCTTGAATATCCATTATGATTCTTCTATTTAGCGGCACCAATAGAAAAATCATCTTCTTAGGTCGAAGTGTTTGGAGATTATTCATCTGTTGGTCTCACTATGCCAGGCGTGAGGTTAACACGTCATCCCTTCCACTGTTTTGATGACCATACTGACAATCGGACAGAATTACAGCCTGGAAAAAGCCAGCAATTTTCAGGTAATGTGTTGCCAGAGTAAAGCTCTGATATAGACTGTAATAAGTTTGTTGAACTGACAATGTTACAGTACAACCAACTGAAGCAGCGTAATCGCTCAAGGAGCGGCTCATCACTGGCGTCAGTTAGTGGACAACAGCGCCAGCATCCACCTCCTCTAGTGTCTCATGCCAGTGATCCCACCCTTGCTACTTCCCTGTCATTGATAACCCCAAACCCTCCCTCTCCATCAACTAGCACCAGTACCCTTCAGCCCCTACTCGCACAGCTTCTTACAAGTAAGTATTAAAAGTATATCATAGCCTACTGTCTGGGGATTGAACCCAGGGTTCCTGCTTCATTGTCATGTGAGTGCCTATCTTTTGGGCTGCCAAGGACATCCACTTGTGAGGTGACAGTATTCCTCCCTAGCATCCTGACAGAACAGATTAAATTTCCATGTCCTGTCACTGTCATCTCTACTGTCCAATGGTGTTTTGTCTTCCTCAACATATTCCTTGCAAAGGTCACACATTTCTACCAACACGGCCCAGTTCTTAAATGATGTTTGAAGTCCTCCAATTTAAGTGCCATTTTTATACTTTTATAGTTCCACAGCCAAATACAATTTTCAGAATATTGATATTTGGACAGTGATTCAGAGCATGTCCTTTACCATTGAGCGTTCTGAAACACTGCAAATCAAGTAAAGTCTTCTGTATGTTGCTCTGTTTTAAAATGGTGACATCAGAATTTTGGAGGAAGTGGCTGCCTCCTCCTGTGCGGGTTTAAGTAACAGGAAAGTAGTTTTTACATATTATTATAACACAATTTGTGGTCAGAAATAAATATAGCTGTCATAAATTGCGATTATTTAAAATGGTATATAGCACAAGTGTGGCATGTAGCGATCCTGAACTGTGGCCTATGCAAGTTGGACCATAACTAATGTTTCTGTTATTGGCGTGTGGTGTTGTTCATAAACAGACGTTTTATACGTTACGCCAAATTTTATTAAGATTTATTCGACTATTATCCTGTCATATATGTATTCTTATTTCCCACATGTGCTACATGCCCCACCAATCTTATTTTCTTTTATGCAATCACTTTGGTGAAGAGCGCGTTGTAAGATACATGTGTGTCTGATGATGGCCTAATCAGGCTGGAATATGTAACAAAGATAATAAAATGATGAGGTTGTGTAGACGAGGTCAAGGTTAAAAGTGCACAGAGCTTTACCTCTGGTTCCCATAAGCCCTTCATTTACTCTGTGCTTAAACAAAGGTACTGCTTTCTTTTGCTTTTGTTGTGTGACAGTATTGGCAGGTCCTATAATGTTTACTTCATTCTCTGAAATATTTCAGATTCAGTGGGTATTTACAATTTTACTGGTGCCTCAGACAAAGTAATTGGAAGGACTCAGTCAGTGGTTCCAATCCTTCCCGCACTCAGTCCTGTGTCATCTCAGCCCGCGACAACTCTTCTCATCACCACCTCAACCCCAGTAACAGTAGGTCAGTCGATGGCACACGCTTCCAGTCAGGTCAGTATACCACTTGTTAAACCTAATATATACAGAGCAAATGTTTGTATTTTCTGCAGCAGAAAGTTATCGAGGTGTGTGGGTTTAAATTTGTGTTTTTGAGCTTCTGTCAAAGCGCTTAGTGCTACATAATTCCAGAGTATTGAAGAATATCATGACATTGTTTTTGTTCAACACTGTACAATGTTGCAGTTGTTACTTGGGCCATTGGGTGTTGGAGTTGGGGGTAATGGGGGGAAGGGACCTGATTCGCCTAGTGAAAACTCAGCTGTGGCTTCTTCCCCTGCGGGACTGAGCCTTTCACCCCTTCCCTCACCTCTCAGCATGGCATCAGTGGGCACTGCAGGCCCCCTCTCACCTTCCAGGTCAACATCCCTGCATTCAAGAGCAGAGGTGGATAAGCGCGCACAATCACGCCGCAAAATCAACACTCCACCTAAGGTAGCTTGGGCTCTTTTTCCTTCTTTTGCAAATGTATGGTATATAGATTTATTTTGTTGTGGGTTTCCAGGTGTTGCAACTGATAAAAATATACAGGCTGCCAACCATTCAGGAGGGCCAGGATAGCTCAATCAGTATAGTAATTGCTGTTCCTGGACAGCCAGGGTTCAATTCCCAGCAGTGACAGGGTTGTTCTGTTAGCCACCAAGTCCACACTGGCTGTGGGACCCACCCAGTGTTGGCAGCAAGCCCACTTGTACACAGTGGCAGAGATTCTTTTAATTCTTGGCTTGTACTTAATTGCTTTGGCTGACTCAGATGTCATTTATTTAATTTATAAGACAGCTTCTTAAATATGATTTCATTTGTGTCATGGATGAAAACAGTCTGTTGGTAAGAAGTGGCATCTAAAATATATTTCAGTGGTTCTTTTTTCTCTCTCCCCC